CCTTATATAATATAACTCGTGATTGTCATCAAGGATTCTTGAGTTATGACATGGATAACGAGATCAGAGCCTCAATAACTTGGAATGATGAAATTATGGGATATTAATAGGGGCCATCCACTTGTCTTCTTAAGTTAGCCCCCTTCCATTATTTATTCATTTCTTGTATAACCCTTGGGTTGTAGAATTTTCATTCCCCAGTCGCTTATTATAATTCCAATCTTAGGCAATTCTGAAGATTACCAGTCACTTATGTTTCAAAACGAAAGTATCATCATCTTTGGAGCCTTTTATCCTTTAGTTTCTTTCTCAAGGGTCTTTATTTTTGTTAACATATTTATTTACAAAATATTATGTCCCTTCTGGAAAAAAAGTGTCTTTTTATATTGAAATAAGATTTCCTCATCACATTTCTATGACTACATGCTCCTTGCCCTAAAGAAACATTTGTTTCTTTCACATATCCATAACACAACCTTGTTTAATGCACCTTGAACCTTAAATTGTTATTGACTGATGCAACCTTGGCTGTATTGAGGTCACATATTTTTTGTGCCTTACAGTCTCATTGACTTGGTTTATTCTCATATGTTTGAGCTTTATCATACCTCTTCTTTAAGAGACCTTTAAATCCCGACTTATAACTATATGCATTTCCACACAAGTGAAACACTTTAATAAAGAGTATTCATAGCTATGCTTCAAATATAATTAATCTATGAAGTTTTCTCCTATATTAATCTGAGAAGTCTTCTCCCTTGAGAAATCTCGAACCTTATTTCTCATTCTTCACTCTACCTGTGTTCCTACAATGGTACTCTGATCAGGTTGGAGAGCAAGGCACCATGTTCATGCTTGTAGATCCACCCATGTTAATTGCCTCTTGTTTGTCTAAAGAATTAGCCTTTCGAGTGGGTCCTTTTCGTGTAGGAGTTGTGGGCCCATAGTTATAACATGTGTAGGGGTTGTGGGCCCATAGTTATAACATAACTATATATCCCCATAGACGAAGACTAAGATCATACATTTGCAGTCCCTATGTCATAAATTTGAACAATTTTTATGCAAAATGTTCTCGTCATTCTCTTTCTAGCTTGGTCATAGATCTTGGTATCATCCTAAAAATTCAATCAGTATTATGATAGTTACCCTTACAAGTCCTTACATTACATGGATATGTTTTGATTAGTATGATTCCTAGTCAACACATATCATATTTGAATTTTTTAATGGATTTAGGAATCATGGATCATTTTGAAAGAAATTTTTTAATTTCATTTATACATCTTATTCAATTTCTATTACCTAATGATTTGTGCTTACATAGCTGTCCCTATTGGAGACAACCCATGGATTTGGTGATGCTCTCTCAACTTTGTACTTTAATTACCATAATAGTATGTGGTGGACTTTGAGAGAAAGCATCAAGTAACTTTTCACACCATATATATGTTCTTTTGTGCTAGATATTTTTAGTCCAAGTAAAAATCAAGGATATTACTTCAAGCAACTAAGTGGTCCATCACTCATATTCTTGGGTCAACTTTGATAATCATGTAGGTGGAGACCGAGATTAGGCTCTTGTAAGTCCCCTGCCCACCATAATATAATTGATTAAGCATTTATACAGGTGGAGACCAAGGTTAGATATTTGTAGGTTTCTTGTACTTCTGATGCCTGCCTAATTGGGCTCTTTTATCATTGAGTTGAGTTTGGATTAACAAAACTTAATACCTCAAAATCAAATATCCATTTAATCTTACAAATTTGTCATTTAGGTCACTTCATATGTTTTCTTTTTAAGGCAACTCATGGGTACAATGATATATTCTAGATGTAGTTTGATAATAAAATATGGGCTATTGATGGAGATGGGGTGGGTTACTCATTATAACACCAACATGAATAAAAATGATGATTGATTTTATTAATTAGGACTATATAGGTGATTAAAAGATAATTTTGATTGAAGTCCCACTAAAGTCTCTATGAATGAGAGAACCGCTTAATTCTACCTTTGGGATATAAGAAATTGACCTTACACGACAACCGTACCCTAAAGTTTAAAAAGCTAGAATAAAAAAATAAGACATTTTGCCTTAGCAAAGCGAGGCATAAGCCCCGAGAACGAAAAAAATCTTATAAAATTAAAAATAATTCATGAATATGACATAAATTTTTGATATGTTGATTTAATTCATTATCATAAAAAATATAAATTACAAATCTTATTATTAAATATTGATGTAAAATAGAAGTTTGAAATGTAATTTTAGGTAAATATTTACTTAAAATTTAAATATTTGATGAGGTTCAAGATCCATAATGGCCTTATCCTTACCTTCATCATCTTTAAAAGAATCATTATATTTATTATCATCTAATTCTATCTATCAACATAAATGTTCTTCATTCAATATAAAATTTTCTTACTATCAATTAAATTAAATTCCAATATAATCTAAAAAGAATAAATTAGTAACGTAATCAAGTAATTATACTTAAATTATCTTTTGACCTTTTTAGACATTATATCAAATTTATATAATATAATTTAATATAATAAACTTTTTTTTTTGCATAACTTGATCAAGGCGTTGTCTCAAATATTTCGGGGCACATGCCTCGAAGGAAAAATGCGTAAGTCTCACTGGTGATATTGAGGCTCAAGCATCGAGTTTTTTTTTCGTGCCTGAGTTTGAGTCGTGCCTGAAGGCGTAAGCCTCAAATGCCTTTTTAAACATTACCCTGCCCAAACCCATTCAAAAAATTCTATGTTCGGTTTGACCCAATTAGCATTTGTGATGGGTTTGCACCTAGAATCACAATCGGTTTAATTTTTTGCATCATGTTCAATTTGAACCGACAACCAAAAATTGATTAGCCTACTAAATGTTGACCCAAATGGTTGTTATGTATTATGTTAAACGTGTTACATGGGTTGGATTTAGGTCAGTTTGTTTAATGAAAAGTCTGATTTGAGTTAAGTTTTTTTGACTTGTTTAATAAAAAGGTTGTGTTTGTGATATGCATATCCGCATCAAGTCATTTTGAATAAGATCGAACTATTCTATTAACCTGAATTGACACCCCATTTTTATCTTTATATTTCATGTAAGTCTCAAAACATAATTTAACCAAGTCTTTTTTTTTTTTTTCATTACAACTCACACCTTATTTATAACCTTTAAGCTTGAAATAGATTAAAAATAAAAAATTACTACAATTCTTTTGAGGAGGGAAGGACATGTCAACTCATGAATTCATATCCTCTTGAATCTCATATTTGATTGCTTAATTGATTTATTCCTGGTAAAATTGCCTAGAAATAAAGTATCGTTGGATTTTGGACTTTAAGTCACAATTCATATTTTCCTTTCTAGCAATGGTACCTTCATGGATGGAGAGAGAGAGAGAGAGAGAGAGAGAGAGAGAGAGAGAGAGAGAGAGAGAGAGTGATATCCCATGTATACTAACATGCTTGCACAAAACGACCAAGCTAATTTAGAAATAGCGTGGAGCCATGTTGTTGGGGTTATGATGCATACAATTATGTCTTCATTTAAACTAAGAGTGATGTACTTATTTCAGTTCTGCTGTTGAGGATTTTTTTCCATAATACGCATTTGCTATTTGAAGTGGAATTAGACAGAAGGAAAAGGATGATAGAAGTAGATCCCAATCAAAGGGCTTATAATCAAAGCTCCATCAAAATAATATTAAGAATGACATTTCTTGCGTCAACTGATATTATAAATATTCTTTTTATACATCAAGTACCCAAATATATCCCTTTGTCTTTGAATAGGCTTATAATAGTTGTCTCAATTGACTCAAAAATGAAATCCCCATTTTTTAATGACTTTAGGTATTCAGTTTTTTACCGCATTGATAATGAGCCAATTTTAGTATTCACTTTTGTTCTTAGTTTTTTCAATAATTTCTTATAGCTCGCATAAGCTGCATACATGAACTGAATGGCTGTTTATAACATTATGAATTTGATTGCCTGATATATATATATATATTGGAAACTTGTGGTTTTCATTTCTATTTCATTTTAACCATTTAACAATAGCAAAAAATAAGACATTTGATAACAGCTTGAACTACAAAGTGCTCAAATATTGTTCAGTTTGATGATTATTTTGTTGGCATCAAGCTTATAATAAAGATGAAATAATGATACTAAAATAAATTAATGTTGTGGTTTTCTGAAGATCAAAATGCTTGATTTTATTCTTAATGTAAATTTCCGCTTGTACATAGTGTTTGTTGGATTTTACACGATCTTGAATAGAAGTTACTGAAAGCTGCATCACATTTTCTTGATTGTTCACTAACATTAAGTTTGAATATTGACGATGGAAAAACAAAAAAGAAACTGAAAATTGATCCATCTTAGATAAGGAATGTAAAAAGTTCAACTATAGTGATTTACATTTTGGGAGGAAAGGTACTCTAATCCAATTAATATGTATTTTTTGTCTGAAGCATTGTCAAATCTGCAGGACATTCGAGAGGGGCAATGTTTAGTAAAATTTGATGCAATTTGACCATCCAGAATTTAAAAAAAAGATGGAGAAAAAATAAAGATTTACATGCGTACCACTTAAATCTTGTGAACATATCTATTACCTAAATTTTAACTTTTATATGTATGCCACCCAAATCATTCAAATCTCATAAAAATTACTGACATTTTAACTTTTAAAAGGTGAAATGCACCTTTTCATGTATAAGTAGGGTCGCATATATGTAAAACTTCAGACAGAGATGCATGCTACGAAATTCAAAAGCCTAGGTGCTGATGCAATTGCCAATAAAGTCCATTCATACAGATTGTGAAACTCTTTAAACTAATCATAGTTCATGATATGAAAATTTTGTGGATGATTTGTATTTACTTTCCCGTCACAAAATAATCACACTTTTTATTTGGGTGATTCTCTAGATTGTCCGCTCATGTAGTCAATAAATCAATTTAGATGTGTTGATAGGAAGTCCGAATGCCAGCAGCTGGGTCAAAAGGAGCTTCGAAGAACCCGGGCGAGCTAAAAGATGATACAAACTCTACGAGGGAGGAAAAACAGGTAATTGATTTGTTGTAATCGGTTTATCATATGTTTTAATTTATTATCTAATGGGTAAATAGGAGTAACATGAAATGGAATTGCATTTTTTTCACCTTGGTTTGGATATAAATTCTTTTAACATGAACTGTTACTCTTAATTTGTTTTGTGCATGCATATACTAGTCAATATTCACATTTACCTTTTGATTAATAGTGTTTAAAAATAATTGTATATGAGAAATATAAGCGCTCAAGGTTTTCATTGCATGAAAAGCTAAAGTTAGCCCTGGAAGAATTTTGATTAATAAATGAACAAAACTTCTTTTTCATAATGCCTCAAAATGCAGGTATTCAAAATGTGATGAAGCTGTTAGTAGTTTCGATGCAGGATGAACTAGCAGCATGCCTATAGGTTGTGAAACTTTTAAATTGTATAAAAACTGTTGTGCTAGAATATATTTCTAAATAGATTTGTACTGCCGGATTTTCTTTGGGCAGTGAGCTATGCATGTCAACTTAAACCAAAACTCTTCATCTGATAACCTGGCCTTTCCTGATTACTCTCATTTTGAGCTAATAAATTTCTTCTTTTTGGGCTGAAAAATAAGCTTAAAGTTCAAATTGCTTGCTTTGTTTCTTTTAATTAACATTTCATTGCTAGAATTCAGGATAGAAGCATTCAATAAAATACCGTGAAAGCGTAAAAATAGTTTTTTTGTCACGTACATAACTAAGGATGTTTCAACAAGTAGAGGACTTTAGTTTTAGATTGGTAAATACGGCCATTAGTTTAAACTTGAGTGACCGAGCCCTTGCTTTACTTGTTTGTTTCACTCTCATTGATTGAAGGAAGTCCGATCATGCATTTTTGTCTTGGCAGAGCTTGCAAAGATTGTAATTGCTCAGATTTGTCAGTTGAAAAATATTTGTTTTGATTATTATGTGCTGTTGCTGATTTTAATTTTAACAATTTCTCCAATCAATGTCACGATCCTGCTCGGGATTTGGAATTAATCAAGACGGGTGCAAAAGGTCGTATAATAGGAATTAAATTTTTCATATTTATTTTCTATAACTAGTTATTAACAAATGAAAGAACCACTAATCAAATTAAATTAAATGAATATAATTAAATTTATCTCATTATAGATATTTCGCGTCTTATATAAATATTCTCTTTTATGTTGCTTATCTTTTAATAAATTAATTATATTTGAAAAATTAGTTAAAACAACTGTGAGCTAACCAAAGCTAGCGATTACTCATACTCTTAAACTACAATAGTATAACGAAAAATAAAATAATATACATAGGAGTGTCAAAAATTGACTTAACACGTTAACACGACTCGAACTCAACTCGAAAAATTTGGGTCAGGGTTGATCCGAATATTTTTTGAGTTGAGTTCGAGCCAGAGAATTTGAACCGTTTATTATTCGGGTTGAGTTCGGGTTGAACCCCAAAAATCAAAAACCCAAACATGAGTCGAATAAGGAAGTTGGGGTCGGGTTTGGGTTAGCGGGTCAAGCACAGCTTCAGGTCGGGTTCGTTTTTTGGTTTTCGACTCGTTTATTATTCGAGTCGGGTTTGGCTGTCCCTAATAGAGTCGGGTCATTTTCGGATCGGACCTGAACCGTACCCGCTGACCCGAATTGACACCCCTAAATATGCATACTAGTTAAGTGTTTAATCAATTAACATAAATATTTAATATTTTAATAATATGATGTTAGTAAGCAAATTTTAGTATATCAATAACATATCTATATCAATAACATATCTATATCATTCTATATTTATACAATCGTCACAATAACACCGTCTAAAAATTATACCATTTAAATTACTTTAATATCAATAGTCTTTTCTATTTACATGCACGGGTAGCTTAGCATTTCTCTACCAATATCATAAAGTGGTGACTATATCATAGTTAATTATGCACATATAAACAGTTAATATAAACGTATCATTTATTTGTTCATCACATTTAATTATATATAT